AGAGCTGCTACGTACTAATGCAATCAATTCTTTGTGATCTTTTTGCTCTAACATAGACAAAACAAACGTCATGAACCCAAAAAGGGAGGGAGAGGATCTGTGTTGTTGGATACGACTTCCTCAGAAACTAATGGAGTAGCCTGTAAAAGGATAGCACTTAAACAGAGGGTTGAAGCATTACCAAACTTTCTTTTTCTTCTACTACTTTGATCTTCAAGAACTCTCCCGGTAGAAGAAGGGATACAAGGTTTGTCTTGTTCAGCCGTAATGGCAAGATTAGAGTGATTGAGAACTGAAGGGCTGTGATTGGAACTAATAAATTGTTTTGCTTCGGAACCTGACAGCATTCAAGTAAGAACATCGGAGATAGTTGGAATTATAGCAATAGAAAAATGCTGTGTAAATTAACTAGGAAGATTATATAACAACCCCCATTTGCATGAATAGGACTGGGTGATCTCGGCTCAGCCTTCACACATTTGAATCCACAATCCTGAGAAGTTATTGATGGCAAAGTATGACGTGGACCTCGAAAGCGGGCCAACATAGATTCAGATTCCTGTAACCGCTTCTCTGCTTCCTCTAGCTGTAGAAGTTTTCCGAATGCATATGAACTGATAATCTCTTTTTCAAATATATTTCACAAGACCTAATAAGAAAGCTTGTCCAATGTACACTAAAATTAAATGAATATAGCATTTCAGCGTTCATTTCTGATATATAGTAGATAGAAAGGAACCTGTCCAGAATTTCAAACTAAAGTTGGATAGTGTTTAGCGTTCTTGACATTGTTGCGAATCGGGTGTAATTACTACGAAGATGGAATGTGATATGAAAATTAATAGTGAAAGGTAGAGAAAAAGAAACGTAAAAACCTGACGAGTGTAGTAGGAAATACGCTGCTGGAGATGGTGGACTTCACGAGTACGATGATCAACTAGAGCCACCAGTGCCGCCTCTTGCTCGTCGGCGGTGTAGTTGCATTCATCTGCTTCTGCCGCATCCATTTCAGGCGAGTGGGCACACCAGAGCTCCTCCAATCTGGGTTTCTTCACAGGCTGGGTCATTCCTATTTCCTCTTCTGTTCGCCCTACGCTTTTCCCGCCACCGCCTAGAGAACCAAATTTTATCTTTCTAACACCGCGGCTACCCTTTTATTTTAGTTCTAAAACATTGGGGGTCGGGATTTGTTAAAGATTATTGAACTTATCAAGATTATATATATTTAATTAAAATGGTAAATTACAAATTCCGCCTCTGAAAAATAAAATATTAAATAATTCCCTTTAGTTTCATAAAATCGCTTTAAAGAGAGCTCCGGCCTTAAAGTATGCAATTGAAAATAAAAGGCAAAAATCTAAATTTGAAAATAATATTAAATAAATTCTATTTTTTTTTTTCCAAACTAGCTGGAGGCTTAATTCACAAGCATGTAACTTAATCCAGGGAAGATATCATCAAGAAGCAAGCAAATTCAAATTCATAACGCTAATATATCATCAAGAAGCAAACAAATTCAAATTCATAACACTGTAAATATGATCTTGGTTGATCAGTTGAGGAAAGCACCAAGTCTGCTTATTCCACTGGAACCGTGCATTCTAGTAAGCAAAACACGAGTATGGTTAATAACAAATTTAGAAGGTAGATTACATATTCGTTTGTCTCAATATTTACGGGTTACAATATTGACGGGACAAAAACAAAGTGAGATGTTCCTGAGCGAGTCGTGTAGTCCTGGGAACTACATACATAGAATGTCTCGCACGAGTTCTCAAACATGAAATCACCAGCCAACTAGAGTAACCAACACCAAGTACAACCAAACCACCCGATATCCATACGAAGTCGATGCAGTTCAACGATCAAATCGGGTCTCCAACTCCACACATTGGCCATTCAACGCCTTTCTAAATGTGAGGCACTTCACAGAACGCACATTTTAGCGAATAAGAGCAATGTCAAGCAACGAGATCCACTTCATCAGGGTGTGGGGGAACCACATCTAGCCTCAGCATGCTCCTATATTGATATGGAATAGGTGCTCCTGCTTGCAGACACAGTTCTACAACAGCAGGAACTTTGCCGTAAAATCTTTTCAACTTGTTATCCAAAGGAGGCCCCTTCAAATCTCTAGCATGCCATACATGATTTGGACCCACAATATCGTCTATCGTTGCCTCCTGCCATGCATGCAACCCGTTGCGAGACTGATGCTTTGAAGCTCTACATATTCTCACCTTATGCCCCTTAGGACCAACCTGGACCTCGGGACAGTATCCACATGTCTGCACCCTATACTTCTCCATTATTTTCTTCGCTCCGGATACCATTTCAACCCACGAGTTTAGTGTCATGATGCTTAACTTCATTAACTCCCTGTTCTCTTCATGTTGTTGGTCCAATGTGTTACTAATTTTCCACGAGAATGAACACCTGCTGCCTCCTTCATGTTCTATCCCAAGATCAGGCTTTACAGAAACGCCTGTTTTCACCTCATTCGTTTCCTTCACCGACTCGAAATCTACAATTCTCCCTTCAATACTGTACACAGGTTTTGTTCGTCTTTTAGAAGGGTATTTCTCAAGATCAACACCAGCTTGGATGCAAAGCTCCAATAGAGCAGGTATCCTTGGTATCACATACCTCTCCTCGTGCCCAACTCTTGGTTTCCCTACACGATCATAAAGATGGTAACACTTGGGGAAAAAGACCACGTCTTGAGCTCCTCCCTTTCTCCAAACGTGAGTAGCACTTCGAAGCCCGCTCTTTGGACCAGTGCAAGTTCGAATTTCATGACCTACATGTCCAATATGAACCTCGAAGCAAAACCTAAGGAGAACAAGCTTCAGCAAGTTAATTAGCCAACAACGATGGGGGAGATTGTATAAGTTACAACACTGCACTTAAAACATGGTATACACTTTAAAGAATTTATGTAACGGCACAAGTCCACCGCTAGCAGAGATTGTCCTCTTTGGGCTTTCCCTCAAGGCTTTAAAACATCCTCGTTGGACTTTTCCTTTCGGGCTTCCCTTCAAGGCTTTAATACGCGCCTTTTAGAGTTACACAGTGGAACGAGTGCTCATCCAGATACTGTCCTCTTTCGACTTTCCCTTCCAAGCTTCCCCTTGTTGGATGATGAAAGTCCCACATCGGCTAATTTAGGGAATGATCATGAGTTTATAAACAAAGAGTACTCTCTCCATTGGTATGAGGCCTTTTGAAGAAGCCCAAAGCAAAGCCATGAGAGCTTATGCTCAAAGTGGACAACATCATACCATTGTGGAGAGTCATGTTGATTCGTAACATGGTATCAAAGTCATGCCCTAAACTCAGTTGTGCTAATAGATTGGTAAATCCTCAAATGTCAAACAAAGGACTCCAAAAAGAAAAAGGGAATAATCATGGGTTTATAAACAAAGAATACTCTCTCCATTGGTATGAGGCCTTTTGGGGAAGCCCAAAGCAAAGCCATGAGAGCTTATGCCCAAAGTGGACAATATCATATCATTGTGGAGAGTCATGTTGATTCGTAACACCCCTCAAGGTTTTTTTTGGACTTTCCCTTGTAGACTTCCTCATGACACGCGTATGCTAGGGAAAGGTTTCCACACTCTTATTATAAATAAAGGGTGTTTCGTTCTCCTTCCTAACCAACATGGGATATCACAATTTATGAGTTTGCTTCAACAGCTCAAATGGTGGGGTGGTGGGGGGTTAAGTTCCCAATGCATAATGTGCATCCTAGTAAAATACAGACCCTAGAGAATAGCTGAACTTAGCACAAACAAAGTTGTTTAGCCTTCCTTTCCAACCAAATATGATACCTCAAATTAAAACTCACTGTCCTCTAAACCAAATTAACCAGACAACCATATTAACTCACTGTCCTCTAAACAAAGTTCTCTAGGCAAGGGGTCCTTTCAACTCCTATTAACCACTAGTTACGCAATAGTCCTTGCAAATATAATTATAGTTCAGGGTAGGCAATGGATAAGAAGGATCACTCAGACATAGTGGAGAATACGTAAAATATAGAAATTATACAACAGGCACCTGCATCTTTGAATGGGAATGACCTCCAAGAGTTTTGAAATGCCGAAGCGGAGGGAGTTCCAAGCTAGGTACACATTTTGAGCTACATCGACAAGATCAGGCACCAGCAATCCATTGTCGGGGGGGTCTTCGAGCATCCTACAAGGCTGCGCATTTCTGGCTTCTCTTTCCTCTTTTGCTCTTCGAATCAAAAGCTTCATAGGAGTGGGAAACGGTTTTCTGTCGGACTTCCGCTCACGGGGTCTGGGCAAATCTACATATGAGGGATCAGGAGCGTCAGGAAGTTCAAATTTCTCTGCCGTATGGGTGAACTTGAAGGATCGGTGAAATGGATTCAGAGGAATAAGTGGACCCCTTTGGACGAACGCGCTGGTCTGTCGCAGCATTCGAGAGCTTGGGACGAATTCGTGACTCACTGCAAGTGCGAACCCCAAACGGACCGGAAACGAGAAAGTGAAGGAGAAATTAGTAGGATGGGCGACAAAAGGAAGGCCCAACCAATAAACTCTTAAATTGGGCACTCGTCTGTTTGGGAGCTTAGGAAAGGCCCAAATGATACTAAACGGGCCTAATGTAACCGGTAACAACCGTAAGAGAAAGACGGCGGTCCGAATGGGGTGAAAGGAAAAGGCAGCATCTTCAACGCGAAGAATAAGTACAATTGGAAATCGACTTTTGAAGCAACCTTTCCTTTTTCTGCTTTTGCTTTCTGGAAAATTTAAAATAGAACAGGAAATAAAGAATCCAGAGCTTTGATGATCAATCTTTCTTTCCCACCCAACTTTTGAAAACCCATAAACGAAGTTTGCGAAAGAAGGCCGCTCTTTCATTTCCTGCACGGAGCTTTATGTGTCATCTTTCCACTCATCGGTCCATACAAAATGGAGGCAAATTCAACTGAGAGGGCAGGATTGATGCAATGGGGTTATAAATGTGGTGGGATTTGGGTGATGAGTTGAGTACTGATGGATAAGTTGAAGTTTGGGAGGGATGGAATGAGGGGATTGCCTCCTGGGTTCCGATTTCAGCCGACGGAAGAAGAGCTTGTGTTTGAGTATCTAAAATGCAAGGTCTTCTCCTGCGCCTTGCCTGCTTCCATCATTCCAGAGGTCAATGTTTGCAACTTCGATCCTTGGGAGGTTCCAGGTGAGATTTGTTTCACTGCATTTAGGGCGTTGTGTTGGCTTGGAAAGTAATGATGGATAAATAATGCATGCAGGAGGGGATTGGGAGGTGAAACAGAGGTGCACATACTTGTTCAGCAACAAGGAAGAAACAGGAAAGAAGAATGGAAGATGCCTGTGGACTCCGAGTGGGTACTGGAAGGCCAAACCCAAAGGGCGTGAAAGGAGAGTAGTAAGCTCCAGTAGTAGCAGTCAGAGCGTGAGTGTGGGGATGAAGAAGACTCTGGTTTTCTACGCCAATAATAGGAACAGAGGTGGGAGTAGGACGGGGTGGATTATGCATCAGTATCGCCTCATCGCCACTCACCCTCCAACTCATACTCCAACTGCATTGAATAACATGAACAAGTGGGCTATTTGCCGCATCTTTTGGAGGAAACTCCAATCCAATAAATATAATCATCATCGTCAACATCATCTGCAACTCCAATATTATTCTATGTCTACGAACCATTCCGACGGCAACGCCTCCGCCGCCCCCTCCACCACCTCATCCTCTTCCAGTACTTCCACCAGTTTCTTCGCCAGCTCTGTCCAACAAAACTCTGACGATGATTTTTCTGCTTCTTAATTATATTTATTTATATATATTTCATACTTCTCTTTTGTTTCCAATCTATATTATGATATTACCTATTTAAATGAACTGTTTTCAACAAAAATTAACTACCCTACTTATTCATTAGATTAGATATGGATCCGCCCATAAACCATATTTACATTCCCTTGAATCAACTTATCATTTAAGCCAACTTTAATTACTCATCTATTATATATTAAAAAATTACACTTGATATAATAACTAATTTAAATAAACCTATATCAACTAGCAAGTATTAATATCATTTTTATTAAACCAACTTATTATGATATTTAATAATAAATAACTTTATTTGAATATTTAATTTATATCAACAAATAACGACAAACTAAAATAAATTTGAATGAGAAGAATACACATCAAATTTATTTGAATTTTTTGTCAAATAAAAATATTTTATTTTCAAGAAATTAAATAACATCTAATTAAAATTCGAATTTTAACAAAATATTCACGTAACAAAAGAATAAATTAATATGATATACATAAGAGCTGTAAAGTAAATGAGATGATAAACTTAATAGATGAGATATAACGAGCAAGAGCTGTAAAGTAGCAAAACAAAAAAAGTTGGGGAAGATGAGGAATAAAATTGGTAAACGTTTTGTAAAACGAATAAAATTAGTCTTTAAAAAAATCTCAAAATTCCATCCTCGTCTTTTCATTTTGATTTTCTTTTTCCCCAATTCTCCTGAACATTATACATATACTGCGCTGCCGGGGTTATTTCGTCTTTTCGCCAGTAAAACGTCTTTGTTGAACTCTAAAATTAAAATTTTAAAAAAATGCCAAAAGACGAAATAGCCCCTGAAGCACAAGAAAGAAATGGTCCCCAGCGGGAGTTGTCCACGTGATTGTAAAAAGAATTATAAATTAGTTATTCATGTTTTATTTTTGGAAATTAAAATGAGAAAACGAATGTTCGGTGAGGAGGAGGAATCCCAAGTTTGAAGAGCAGCCCTGTGCGAGGTTCGAGATCGAGGCGCTGTCGAGAGCGAAGGAAGAGCTTCACAATTCCCGGCAAATCATAGGTCCAGATGATTACCATCCCATACTTGACCGCCTTGACCACCTATTTTAGCTATGGTCTCCTCTTCGTCTTTGGTCAATTCCGCGATTTTTTCAGAAAGATTTTTGATTGGTGGAACTCTAGCAATCTCCAGGTCCGCGCCGGCGCCAATCTCCCATCCCTGATTTTTCTTTTTCCTATTCTCAATGCGCATCCCTTCCCTAATTTTTCCACTTCCTTCCGCAGGGCTACGCTCCGATCTGCTTAGGACTCGAGGATTTTTACATCCGTCGCCTTTATCTTCGCATTCAAGTATGCATTTCAGTTTTTAATTCACCTTCTGGAATAACATTTCTTGCTGTTTCTTTGTTTTTTAAGTTTCAAATTATCCATTTTGCCTGCTTCGCTTTCCCTCTCGCACATTCTTTCTATTAACAATCTTGTTAAGAAGCACTGCAGTGCATGAAATCTTGATTACTCTACTTACTGCTCATCATCTTGAGTTCAAATATTTTATTAGAAAAACTGGACCTCCTTATGATTCCAACGATATATTTCCAGTAAACGTTCAAGAATTGGAATTCTTACATATTTCACTTCCATCAATTACTAGGAGCCTCATTTTATCCATATTCTTGTACTTTATTTTTTCGAGCAGGACTGTTTTGGAAGACCTATAGCAAGCGCGCCAGATGCTTGGATTGATGTGGTTGAGCGTTACTCCAATGACTATAACAAGACGCTGAAGTTTGTCTCTGATGAACCCCCTACGGGCTGCTACATTGCCTCTTTCATTTTGTTAGATTGGATTCGAGCTATGTTTTGGATTTTTGACAATAACTCTTCAATACATTTACCATACAGGCGAACCACAAATGTCTCAAGGTGTCTGAACCTGGGATCGTACAATTACCTAGGTTTTGCCGCTGCGGATGAATATTGTACACCTCGTGTGATTGAATCATTAAAAAGGTTCTCTCCAAGCACCTGTAGTGCTCGTGCTGATGGAGGTAACTGGAAATAATAAACTTTTGCATCATGTTTCTACGCTGGCGTCTGGAATGTACTAATTCTCTATTTTGATCTTAGGAACCACTTCATTGCATGAAGAGTTGGAGGTATGTGTGGCTAACTTTGTTGGAAAGCCGGCTGCTCTAGTGTTTGGTATGGGCTATGCAACAAACTCTGCCATTCTCCCAGTCTTAATAGGGAAGGTAAACGGACAGATACGAATTGAAATTTTCCTCTTGAATGTTAAATTAGAAGTGTTTGAAACTATGACCATTTGTTCAACTACAGGGAGGGCTAATTATTAGCGATTCATTGAATCATAATTCAATAGTTAATGGTGCTCGGGGTTCAGGAGCTACAGTTCGTGTTTTTCAACATAATAGTAAGTGGTATAGAACATACATTGTTTCTTCTGATAATTGTAATTTCTGGTCAATGTAAGAACTCTAATTTTTTGACTCGCCTTTCCCCCACTTTTAGCTCCATCACATTTGGATAAAGTTTTGAGGGAGCAAATTGCGGATGGACAACCTAGGTCACATAGGCCATGGAAGAAGATAATTGTCGTAGTGGAAGGCATATACAGCATGGAAGGGGAAATATGCAAACTCCCAGAAATTGTTGCCATTTGCAAAAAATATAAAGTAATCATCCAAGAACTATTTCATCAGACCATGAATGCTGTCCTCTGGACTAAAATTTCCCTAATCCAAGAACATATTCTTAATTGCTGTACGACTTCTTGAGATGAAAAAAAAAAAAAAACAAAAAGATAGCGAAGCATTGACGATATTCATTATCTGCTTTTAGCTTTTCATTTTGCTTTTTATTTTTAGGCCTATGTCTATTTGGACGAGGCTCACAGCATTGGAGCAGTTGGAAAAACAGGCAGAGGTGTCTGTGAACTTTTAGGAGTCGACACAGCTGATGTAGATATCATGATGGGAACTTTTACAAAATCATTTGGATCATGTGGAGGCTACATTGCAGGATCTAAGGTTCAATGTTTTTTTTCTATTAAATACATACTTTTAACACTAAACAAGCGGAATCTATAATATTGTTAAATAAAATTAGTTGACAAAGTAGTTCTTGAAGACTCCAGCAGTATTTGTTTCATATTTTTAATTTTTACTGTTTATCACAACATGAATTGGTCTTTTATCCCACTATATTTTTGTGCCACCCAGAGTTTACAGCTAACTAATTGGCATTTGTACTATGTTATTCCTCAGTGGGCCAGTTTGTCTAGTAGACCTCTTATTGGGAATATCAGGTTGTTGAACTTTTTTCTCTTCGGGCAATCTTTTCCAGTTTGCTTATCTCATGTATACAAGCAGTCAGATAGGAACCAATCCTTATTGAACGTATCAGTTTGTTTAGTTCTTGGCTGTTTCTTCCAACTATTTTTTGCATTAACTTAAAGTGTTATTTTGCAGCATAAAGCGTTCAATTGATGAATTCATCAAATATAGTATGTGCCTTGTCATTTCAGGAACTTATAAAATATCTCAAGTACACTTGTCCTGCTCACCTTTATGCAACATCTATATCACCACCGAGTGCTCAGCAAATCATTTCTTCAATTAAAGTTATTCTTGGAGAGGATGGTTCTAGGAGAGGTTATTATAGTTTTTGTCCATAGCTTCATAATATTCGAGTGTGTTCATGTTGTCCTTAAACTAAAGGTTTCTGGTTTATAAACAAACTATTCATTTTCCTGACTAAACAGGTGCCCAGAAACTTGCTAGGATACGTGAAAACAGTAACTTTTTTAGGTCTGAGCTACAGAAAATGGGATTTGAAGTTCTAGGAGATGATGATTCTCCTGTAATGCCTATAATGCTTTACAACCCTGCAAAAATTCCTGCCTTCTCTAGGGAATGCCTCAAGCAGAATGTAAGTACATCATGTGACTAGCCTGATAGTTTTATCCATTGTAGAAGTTCTCCATGTTTTCTAAAGGTGAGTATGATGTTACTTTGCTTGTGGTTGGACAGGTTGCGGTTGTCACTGTTGCTTTTCCAGCTACACCTCTTCTTCTGGCAAGGGCTCGCATTTGCATATCTGCATCGCATACGAAGGATGACCTCCTTGAAGCCTTAGAGGTCAGCCTTTATTTTGGTTATTGTAATTTTTTACTTTACCATTTTTACCATGGTTAATTCTTCTTCCGTTTTTTCATATTCAAATTGTATGTCTCAGTTGAACAAAATGCTGAACTTTACAATATTTGTGCCTACCTGATTTAAAAGTGTCATCATAATAAAGAATAATTGAAGCAGCAAAATAAAGGCATTTACTTGATTTAAAAGTGTCGTCATAATAAAGAGTAAATGAAGCATCAAAATAAAGCCTTTTTTAGTTATTTAAGACAACTATCTTGTGGAAGGAAATTAGTAAGAAAATAATGACCTAGTGACAATAAAGAGCCTATCCGTTTATTTAATACAGTTAGCTGCTGCCTCATCGGATATTTTGTAAAATCGTAGTTCCAAATTGTAGATGAAAGCTACAGTTGATGAATTGCTTGTTCATTATGATTATCATTGTTTCTTGGTTGAGAACATTGTTCTTTCGATTCCATTTGATAAATTTCACCCTTTCGGTTACTGTATGAGAGGTATTAGTTTTTGTTACACGCGCACTCAACACCAACACCCACCCCCCNCCCCCCCACTTTTCTTTTTGGAAGTATATGACCTTAAGGTTGAAATGTAAGGTGAAAAGCTAGAAAATTTTAAATCATGTTGATGTAGTCATCATGCTTCTTAGATCTTTTAGTATCCTGAGGCGGCAAATTTTTTGTTCAAGAGTTGAGTGATTCTTCAGAATTTTGTGACTTTTTGGATTTGATGTGTTGTCAGTTGAATTAAATGATAACCGCAGTTTCTTTCTTTCTTTCATTATGATTATTTTTCTTTTTTTTTTTTTCAATGTTTGACAGGTTATCAGTCGAGTTGGTGATTTGATTGGTATAAAGTACTTCCCCGCGGAGGCCCAGAAGCAGGAGCACGAAAAAGATCCTCATAAGGTAGATTAGAAAGAAAGGAAAAGAAAGGAAACGGAGTCGAGAAGAAATTGTTTTTATGTGTTTGATTAATGTAAGCAGGAGGTTGTTGTGAAGGCAGCTCCTCACATACTTGTCCAAGCAGGGGAGGGGAAGGTAGAGACCACTTGGTTGTGAATAGTGGAATTTTTTCGAATCTGTATCTCTTTTAGTTTGTCCCCATATGAGACATGCCATCTTCATGAATTTTGGTATATCAATGCTACGAGATTACTTGATTGCAAATGATCTAGATTTCTGACTTTTGTTTCTTGTGATTATTTTTCCTAAATGTTCTCTCATGTACGGTTACTATCATTGATTTTCCTTTTCCCCTTTTTGTAATTATTTCCAAGAAAATAAGATTGAAACCTTATTATTAATAAACATCGACGGAATTTGATTGGTTCCCAATAAAATGGAGACTAAAAGGATGGGTTTAATCTGGGAGTAACGAGAATAGTGGGGCATTCTATTTTGAGTGAACTCTGCTAATATATTTAGAATACATAATGCAGAGCAGAGAAGAGAAGAGCAGGGGGAAGGCTCCCAAAGGTTGTTCTGTTATCTCCTCGGTGAGCATATCGTTTAGCCGGGAAAATTTACTCAACCAAACATCTTCCAACTCCAACTAGTTGAACTCGGGAAATGAAACTCGTCCACCAAGGGGATTGGCTTAAGATCTTCAGCAAACCAAAAACTGGCCTGACTCTACTGCTGGTCTTCTAAGTGTAACTAATATAGATTGTAGCTTGACCTCTTCATCTCTCTGGGAGATGGAGACTAGCAGCATTGTTTGGTATGCAAGCAAAGCCCATGATCCACCACACTCGGCGAAATAACTAATGCAGTTGTTGTACTACTTTGAGACGAAGAATCTTCGGAAAGGTCATATACTATACTATACTAAGACGAGAGGCAGGGGAAGGAGTTCAGTGACATCACAGAATGGGGCAAGAAATGGTTGTTTATTTTGGGTTGTTTTGTATCCTGTAGCAACCACAGCGGTCCTCTTATTTCACTACATAGATATCACAATCAAATGGAAAAAGATTTATGGGGAAAATTGCAGTAGAGGAGAAGATGTAAGCACTAAAATCAGAAATATGAAAGAGTAACAAAAGAAGCTTCAGCGTCCAATACGAGAAAATGTAGCAAAATGGGTGAGAGAAACACAAGTTTGAGATACATTGCAGTTTTGGGATACATTTGAGACCAAAACTCTATGAAAATCCCTTCCCCAACTTCTGGATTGCGCAGTACATTTTTCTCCGGGACCCAACTGCAGTTATTCCCATATCCTTGAGATCCTCGAGTGTCAACATTGGCAAAACCTCATCGTCCACCTCGTGAATTTCAAAAACTGGAGCATACCGACCTAACCCTAAGCCGTTGAGCCAAACTCTAACCCCGTCTTCCCCACATACTCCTCTCCCACCATTCCCATTCCTATCACCGCTAGTCCCGCATTTCCAATTCCTCGCGTCCGTATCCGAAGGCCCTGAAAATTCCAGCCCTTCTTGCTGCTCCCTGCCCTCCGAAACCCTAGACCGGATACATCTTCTATTCCCCTGATAAAGCATCTCCCTTTCGTTCCCCTGACCTTCTATCCCCAAATTCTCAAGCGAATGCATTGAGCTCTGCTCTTTCAACGGACTTTCCGAGTTCTCAATCTCGTAATCCCGATACCCCTCATCCACATCCTCCCCCCCGCTGTACTTTTCATCGCCTTCCCGTTCCCCACCTCCTCCGCCTTCGTCGTGCTTCGAGGATACCCAATTAGTCCTCACCCTCTTGGTGCCCGCGGAGGCTCTCCGCTTCGAATCCTTTAACCTCCAGCTCCCAATTGCAACACTATCCAAATTGTTCTCTTTGTCTTCGCCATCTACGGTCTCCTGAAATTCCCCGGCCGAGCTCAAGTTGGTCAAGGGACGAGTTTTAGAGTTCTTAGCAGAGACAGCGGCGTCCTTGCGATTTTCCAAACCAAACTTCCAAGGCTTATTCGTGCGGCGAGCATGGGAATCGTAGGGCTGGTCGCCGCCGATATCCCCCAATCGGACGCTAGGCCTTCGCTGGCGTTTGGATCCAACGGTATCGGAGGAGACGACGAGAGGGGCAGGACCGCCGTTCATCTGGGCGTCGGGGGGTTGAACATCTGCCATTAGCTAGAAGGAGGGATGATTCGAAATAGGAAGGAATGCAGTGGGAAAAAAGAAGAAAAGGGGGAAAAGAGGTTGGTGGTTAGTTCTTGTGGGTTGAGACTTGAGAGACGAAAGAAGGGGAAGGAGGAATGAAGAAATAGAAGGAGAGAGTGGAGGAGGGAAGGAAGGAAGAAGCGAAGGAGTGGTGGAATAAGGCCGAAGGGCGAAGGGGGAAACATGCCCTGTAAATCGCCGCGTGTCTTCATCATCGGATTTGGCCCCTTAGATTTGGGCCTCCCTTTCAGGATATTTGCATACCTCTTCGTATTCTTAATTTGGGTAACTCAGGAACCCTAGTTTTGGGCATTTTTCTTTATATTTTCTTTCCCATTTCTATGCACAACCATATTGACATTGATGAACACAAAACAATGACATATAAGGAGGCCATCTATGATCCTTTGAAATGATACTTGATAGAATTACATCAATCATGATCGATTGTATCAATCATGTTCAATTGTCTATTACTTTTGTAGGTAGAGCAACACTTGAAATTGTCACCCTCAAGTCACCCATCATTTCATATACCAACAAATACTTCTTTTGTAGGCATAGTTGAACCTATTGTTATCTTTCTTATCTCTTTGGATCTTGCTAGTATAATCAAACGAGTGTTTGACATGTGCACCAAATCAATTTGATGATTTCTCTAAAATGACTAGTGACCAAAGCTTAGAAGAATATTTAACTTTGGTTAATATAAATGGTATCAAAGTTAGTTACTGGGCGGTGTGAGGCACTAGTCGAAGTAGAACTAGATCCTCTACATAATAGACGCATTTTAAAACCTTGAAGGGAAACCGAAAAGGAAAAACCCAAGACAATATCGGCTAGCGGTTGATTTGGGCTGTTATAAATGGTATGTTATAAATGATATCAGAGCTAGACACCATGCGGTGTGCTAGCAAGGACGTTGGCCCTTAAGGAAGTAGATTGTGAGATCCCGCATTAATTTGAGAGGGGAATTGGATTATGAGATCCCACGTTAGTTTGAGATTTGAGAGGAGAATTAGATTGTGAGATCTCAAATTAGTTTGAGAGGAGAACGACCCATTTCTTATATGGGTGAGAATTTCTCTTTAGCATATGCATTTTGAAATCTCGAAACTTAAAAGGAAAAGTCTAAAGAGAGTGATTCTTCGGCGTCAAAAACTCCAATTGTATGGTCGTAAGAAGAATCAGAAGCAATCTCACTCCAAGCTGCAGGGATTTGCTACACTGCTCTTTAGGCCTTGGGATGGCATAAGTGTACAGCCTCTCAACAATTGTTTGGAAAGAGGCAAATTTCACCATGGTATCTGCAAAACCCGCCCCAAGTTTATGGTCCAACATTATCCTCTTGTTATTTATGGAGGATCGTTGAGGAGGAAGGGGCAGTGGTTAAGGGATTTTGATGCTCAAACTTACATGGAATCTGTCAGACGCTCCCAAAGAGGAACCAGGCCTTTGTAGAGTCTGCAAAAGAAGACAGATAACCAGAGAGAGATTTTGAAGTTATTAGGAGGAACAATGCATATTTTCATTATTGAATTTAATTATTAGTGTCGTAAATCATACCCAAGAGCACCCTCAGAATTGACCTCAGAGTTTGGAAGCGAACTTTGACGGCCTCCATGGGGCAAAGAGCAACATCGGCAATGACTTCTGCAGACGCTGAAGCAGCAAAGTATATGAAAGTTTTGTAGTTGGCTGCATTCTCTGGTCCAACCATGTAAGAATAGTAGTTCTTGAAGAACTCGTAGGATCCAAACTTGCAGGCACCCTGAGCACTGTAACCGGGCAAGGTATTCTTGTACTTTGTTGGGTCGATCTAAAATTTGGAATGTATATTAAAAGAACATGGAGCTAGAAATACATTTTAACTATATGTTGAGTGGATTATGGGATAAGTATGAGGAGTCCATCACGTTCTTATTACTTCTGAGAAGACCTCGCTAACCATCCTATCCTTGTGAAGCACATTTCCTGGGTTTTGCACCCAAAACAGTTTTACATCACCAAAAAGGAAAGTGTAGGTGAGCCTGAATTATCCCAAAATCTCACATTGTCTAAGGCGGTGTCTTAACCCTTTCTTCTGCCCTAATAAGCGAATCTAAATGCACACACACACACACCAAGGTCCAGTTCATAAAAGAACTGACTAAGATTAAATTATATCCCAAGGAAGCCACATCCACAGGTTCATAATGTTAGGCAAGGCATATGCCAGAACTTGCCAGGGATATATATATATATATATATATATATATATATATATAATATTGTAAAGCTTAAGCAATTTGCCAGGGTTTTTGGGTAGGGGATGGAAAAAATACATATACTACTTAAATCAATATAACATTAGGCAGCGAAACAAATGATGTTATGCCCCCGTTATTGAGCAACCCTCTCCATCTAAAAGGCGTTATTCAGGTACAAGTACAACCCTACAAGTGCCACGATTCCCACTGCAGCAGCTATGGGCAGCACCTTCCTATACCATTTTACGTGATATCAATCAGGCACACAATAAATAGTCATTCAAATCACTATGATCGCTTATGAAGATTGTAATTTGAGTTTCCATCTTACCCAATAGCTTCATCTTTCTGGATCTGTGCCTTTCTCGCCTTCCTCGTATCAAATTCGTTAGCATTTTTAGTCACAGATTGCTCATAAGGCCTAAATCGTCGCTTAGGAGCACCACAAACTGTCAAGGCATGATCATCGATATTAGAATTCAGTTTCTTTATTGAACTGGAGCTGAATGTAAATGATTCGAAGTTGGTTTCAAAGACAAGAAGTATACTTTGTGTTCTATAAGTTATGTATCTTTGGTTCTTGTAGATTTGTTTTTCAACTTCTCTGTTGACAATTATAGCAGGAACTTATTCTGTTTTCTTTTTTTTTTTTCTTTTTTTTTTTTGTTTTAAAGGCGACTCAGCGTCAACAATAAACTAATTGGTCCTATGAACAGAGAACTTTTGGAATCGATTAGAATTGGTAGACTCGAGAACTACATGAAATTAATTTTGGGAAGATGCAGTTGCAAACAAGAAATAACAAAACGCAGGTCAATATCATCCATGCCTGAGAAAGGAAGAGGTGGGAAGCAAATTACCAGGACAGAAATACTTATCAGGCAATTTTTCAAAAGGCGTTCTGTCGTTGTAAATGTACCTGCATATTCATATTCATGGAAAAGAGAGCGTGAACAGGGAAAACAAAGATGTGAATAAATTAGGTTGAAACGCAGAGAGGAAGGAGAGATACCCGCAATCACGACAGATATAGGCTTGTTTGGACGCGACGCGCATGGAGACCTTGGGGGCAGCTGCAACAGCAGAGTTTTGCTTCCTTAAAGAAGGAATGTTACGTAAAGGAGAGAAGAAGGAGGATTTCAAAGATAAGAAGCTGGAGTGCCTATCAGCGCCGCCGTCTTCCTTAAATAAATCATAATCAATTATGATAGATAACAGAAATGAATTAGATTGAAAAGATGGAGCAATGCAAGTGTAAATGAAGGAGCAGATTAAGAGAGAAAACCTGGTAGATCTTGGAATGTTGGTTGGGCGGTAGCTGGAACCTAAGAGAGGTAGCTGAAACAGAGGCCATTGGAGGTAATATGAGAGCAGAGCAGAGCAGAGAAATTTGAAAAGGGGAAATGTGAAGCAGAAGGAAGGGGAGGAGGAGATATCGATAGGGGGATCGTGGGTGTGGGTTGGGCGTCGTAGGCGAGAGAAACTCAGAAAGAGTGGGTGAAGTGGTGAATCTATGAGTGGCGGACAATCAACAATCTCAATCTTCCCAATCATTTTTATCCTATCCTATCTCCCTCTCCAAGCTTACAGACTCGCCAATTCAACCTCTTTATCTCTTTTCTTTTTTTCCTTATCTTTTAAATAATACTATAACTAAGTTTCTTTTTTCTTTTTCTTTTTTCATTTAAATATAATTCCTCCTTGAGCAGAGCGCCTTATTTAACAGGATCCCCTCCCTCTCTTTCACATTTTAATGCTACTCTCTATCTGCTTCTTCAGCATGCCCTTACAATTGGGGTTGCCTTAGTCCTAATGTTGGCCCGCGTTCAATTATCTTTACAAACAACATGCCAGCAGTAAGTTGCTCATTGAAGCTTCATCGGCAAAAATCACACAAAAAGCTCTCATCTGGGAGCGTACACACAGCAATGACCATGGAAATACAGAAAGCTTTGACAGCTTTGGAAATTGTCGTGGTGGAAACGTGAGCCCCACCAAGAGTCGATCTCGTCTGATCTTGGATGAATAGGCATATGGAATCGAATTACTAATGTAAGTGCAAACAGTGTCGTGTCGGCCCAACATGGGTTCTCTTTTAGGCAAACAGGTGACGACACCATGAATCACTTGTTTTCGTTTCTACTGCATGAGTAAGTACAGTTACAATGTTTGCCCAATTCTTCTCCCTTGGAAACCTAGAAAAAGTCGTTATATAGCTTTCTAGGGACTTCTTATCTAGGAAGGTTCTGTTTTCCTTTAAATACTCCAACTTGAAGAAGAGAAAAAACAGAAGTAACAAATCAGCTATACTACCAGATCCACAACCAGCTGCATCCAGTGAGAAGCAGACTACAAGCCATTAAATTAAAAAAGAGGAAGTGCATAATACATTTTGTAAACTGGTAAGATTGCTATTATCTCTATGAACTAAAATCATCAAACTTTACACGGTGATAGCATCAGGCAAGGACTCGGGGGCACCACTGCTGCCGTTGAGCACTGTCACATTTCCATCTGAATCAACATCCACTATTACTGAGTCGCCCTCCTTGATCTCCCTCGCCAGCATCTTCTCAGCCATGCTGTCCTCCAAAAGTCTCATGATTGCCCTTCTTAATGGCCTCGCACCATAGCTTGGGTTATATCCCTCCTCAACCACCCTATCTCTAAATCTCTCTGTCACTTGAAGTTCAACTTCTTTTGCTTTTAATCTATCAAATACCTCCTTCAGCATTATATCCGCAATCTCCTTCACCTCCAGCTTAGTGAGCTGACGGAAGACAATCATCTCATCCAACCTATTCAGAAACTCAGGCCTGAAGTACTGTTTCAGTTCCTCTGTCACCAAGCTCTTGATTCGGTTATAACTACTATCCTTCTCATCATAATCAAGGTCAAACCCTATTCTGCGACCTCCCTTCTCTATAACACTGCTTCCCACGTTTGATGTCATTATCAAAAGTGTATTCTTGAAGTCTACAGTTCTGCCCTTGCTATCCGTCAACCTTCCATCCTCCAAAATTTGAAGCATCATATTGAACACATCAGGATGAGCCTTCTCAATCTCATCAAAGAGCACCACTGTGTATGGACGACGACGAACAGCCTCAGTTAATTGACCACCCTCTGTGTAACCAACATAACCAGGAGGGGAACCAATGAGCTTGGAGACGGTATGCCTTTCCATGAATTCACTCATGTCAAGGCGAATCATTGCTTCTTCAGAGCCAAAATAGTACGCAGCCAATGCTTTTGCCAACTCAGATTTACCAACACCCGTTGGACCAGAAAATATAAAGCTTGCAATTGGACGATTGGGATTCTTGAGACCAACACGAGCTCGACGTATGGCACGGCTGATGGCTTTAACTGCTTCATCTTGACCAATGACTCTCTTATGGAGGGTCTCTTCCATTTTGAGGAGGCGGTCAGATTCGTCAGTAGATACTTTCTCGACAGGAATGCCTGTCCAGGAGGAAACAATATGCTGAATATCAACTTCGGTCACAACAGGGCCAACATCTCCTGCCTCACTTTCAGCCTTGCTCATCTCCTTGCCCTTATCAACTAGAGCAGAGATCTTAGTCTTAAATTCCATTTCTCTATCACGCAATTCTCCAGCCTGTTTAAAGTTCACTAAGTTTCATTAGCTAGAGTTGAATCAACTATTAAAATGGCACGGCAAGCTTAAAAATATAACCAACATGCAGTTCCAGAAAACAAAACCATAAAATTCTGCATCAGGGAAGAAAAATTAAAGAGAACAAATTTACCTTCTCAAAGTCCTGACTTCGAACAGCCTCATTCTTCTCCTTTGTGATCTGCCTCAGCTCTTTCTCAAGCTCTCTAGCTTCCTCAGGTAGCTGCAGATAACATTAAAATTGTAGCATAATCACAGGAGAGCAAGAGGAATGGAGCAGTTGCACAGATGATGAGAATGTACTTGCGCATGACGAAGGCGAACCCGAGAACCAGCTTCATCAACCAAGTCGATTGCCTTATCAGGCAAGAATCGATCACTGAAATTTAAGTTATACATCAAAACACACCTTCCACAAATGATTAGGAAAAGTAACTTGGATCTTAGGTAATCATATCAGCCAATAGAGACGTGACAAGGTAGATTTGAACCAAGATGGGTGCATGCAGTCAAAATGTTTTTCCCTCTTTATGTTCCAAGTCCTATAGATGGATGTTTAAGAGAGAGAAGATAAAAGAGAAGGAAAAAAAAAACTGAATCAGGTTCCTCAGCACCATGCTGAAATCATCAGGCACACCTCGCTTTGAAGACAATGTTTCAAGGTCCCCTAGTGATTCCAAAAAGCTTCCCCAGAAAACATAAACGGGAAGGCATAGCTCCATGAGCAACCTATAAATTACTAAGGTCCCACAGTACTTCCAAAAAGCTTTCCCCCCCCAAAACAAACATAAACAGAAGGCATAGCTCCATGAGCACCCTATAAATTACTAATCTCAATCATCAACCACACACCTGCACACCCGTACAGGTTGTAGAAAAAAGAATTCGTACAAAGTTTGCTCCACGGATCCAGAATAGATATTCAAACAGGATGTGGGTCTCTTCTTTTCACATGCATAAAAAATGACAACCTGTACTAATCCAAGCCCACCGCTAGCAGATATTGTCTGTTTTGACCCGTTATGTATCGCAGTCAACCTCACGATTTTAACATGTGTCTGA